AGAAACGGAGAGGGAAATCAGAGAAACATCACCTTTCACGATAGCCACAAACACCATAAAATATCTTGGGGTTACTCTAACCAAGGATGTGAAAGACCTATTTGACAAGAACTTTAAGCCTTTGAAAAGAGAAATTGAGGAGGACACCAGAAAATGGAAAGACCTCCCCTGCTCTTGGATTGGGAGAATCAACATAGTAAAAATGGCAATTCTACCAAAAGCAATCTACAGATTCAATGCAATCCCCATCAAAATCCCATCAAACTTCTTCACAGACCTTGAGAGAACAATAATCAAGTTTATATGGAAAAACAAAAAACCCAGGATAGCCAAAACAATCTTATACAATAAAGGAACTTCTGGAGGCATTACTATCCCTGACTTCAAACTCTATTAAAGAGCTACAGTATTGAAAACAGCTTGGTATTGGCATAAGAACAGAGAAGTCGACCTATGGAATCGAATAGAAGACCCAGATACTAACCCTCAAACCTACGAACACCTAATTTTTGACAAGGGAGCTAAAGGTATACAATGGAAGAAGGAAAGCGTCTTTAACAAATGGTGCTGGCATAACTGGATGTCAACCTGTAGAAGAATGAAAATAGATCCATATCTATCACCATGCACAAAACTCAAGTCCAAATGGATTAAAGACATCAACATCAATCTGTCCACTTTGAACCTGATAGAAGAGAAAGTGGGAAGTAGTCTATAAGATATAGGCACAGGAGGCCACTTCCTAAGTAGGACCCCAGTAGCACAGACAATAAGAGAAACAATGAATAAATGGGACCTGCTGAAACTGAGAAGCTTCTGTAAAGCAAAGGACACTGTCAGTAAGACAAAAAGGCTGCCTTCTGACTGGGAGAAGATCTTCACCAACCCCTCATCAGACAAAGGTCTGATCTCCAGAATATACAAAGAACTCAAGAAACTAGACACTAAAACTCTAATTAACCCAATTAAAAAAGGGGGTACTGATCTGAACAGAAAATTCACAACAGATGAACTTCGAATGGCCAGAAGACACTTAAGGTCATGCTCAACCTCCTTAGCGATCAGGGAAATGCAAATCAAAACCACTTTGAGATACCATCTTACACCTGTCAGAATAGCTAAAGTTAAAAACACCAATGATAGCCTATGCTGGAGAGGATGTGGAATGAGGGGAACACTCATCCATTGTTGGTGGGAATGCAAACTCGTGCAGCCACTTTGGAAATCAGTGTGGTGGTTTCTCAGGAAACTGGGAGTCAACCTCCCTCAGGACCCAGCAATTCCTCTCTTGGGAATATACCCTAGAGATGCCCAAACATACTACAAAAGCGTTTGTTCAACTATGTTCATAGCAGCACTATTTGTAATAGCCAGAACCTGGAAACAGCCTAGGTGCCCCTCAATAGAAGAATGGTTAAAAAAGGTGTGGAACATATACACATTAGAGTTTTACTCAGCGGTAAAAAATAATGACATCTTGAATTTTGCATGCAAATGGATGGACATAGAAAACGCTTTACTGAGTGAGGTAAGCCAGACCCAAAAAGAGGAACACGGTATGTATTCACTCATAAGTGGATTCTAACCATAATTAAAGGTCTTTGAGCCTATTATTCGTGATCCTAGAGAAGCTAAATAAGAAGACGAACCTGATGAAGATTATTTACCTATCCGCCAGGAGGTAGGAAAGAGTCAAGAGTCCCAGGTAACCTTGGGTGCATGGGGGGGGTGGGAGGGTTGTTGGAAGGGGAGAGGGTTAGAGAGAAGGGAGTAGGGGAGGAATGGAGAAAGCTCGGTTGACCGGGATGGGGGGAAGGGAGGAAGGATGAATGTGGGATCAGGGAAGAATATATTTCAACTAAGGGAGTCATATTAGAGTTTACAGGAAACTTGATTATATATGGGATCCCAGGTCCAAGGAGAGATCCCCAGATTGTTCTCTGGACAGAGGAGGGGGTGCCTGAACCGGCCTTGGCCCGTGACCATACTGATGAATATTTTGCTTATCACCATAGATCCCTCATCTGGCGTTGGATGACGATACAGATGGAGGCCCGCGTTGGAGCACCGAACTGAGCCCCCCAAGATCCAAATGAGGAGCAGAAGGAGGAAGAAAATGACGAAGGACTGCGAGGGATACTATCACCCACTGATACAAGGGGTCGGATCTAATGAGAGTTTACCAAGGCCAGATGGACCGTGACTGAACGAGCATGTGATCCAACCAGATTCTCTGAATGTGGCCGGATTTTCTGAATGTGGCTGGCCTGCAGTCTTTCTGAGAAGCCATTGACAATGACACTGGGACTGGTTTCCTCTGCATATACTGGATTTTTGGGATCCAGTCTGTTTGGATGCTCACCTTCCTGGACCTGGAGTGAGGGGGGAGGAACTTGGACTTCCCACAGGGCAGGAAACCCTGACTTCCCTTGGGGACAAAGAGGGAGGAGGAGAGGGAGGGGGGGAGTGGGAGGGCGTTGGGAGGAGGGGCGTAAATGGAAACTTTTTATAATTTAATAAAATTACTTAAAAAAAAACAAAAAAAAAAAAACAAGGAAATGCATGACAGAGCTCCCTAACTTCAAAAAGGCTGGGAATCCTGCAGGCAATTGGGCAGTGATTCAAAGTTCCTGCTGCTATAGAGATGATATTCCATATAAAACTGTCATAAAACACAGAAGAGGTTGAGAGCAGAAGCAAGAGTATCAGGTACCATAGAGGCACGCCTATCATGTCTGTACTTCTGAGAGAAGAACGACACAATGTAAATGATTCTGATAGGATTTGTGATACCAGAAACATTTTTTCCCCATTTCAATTTTAAAGAGAGTACCACACAACTCCATGAATTTGACAGTCATTAACCCTGTGAAGCCATCCCCAGAAATAAGAACACACATTTCCATCAACACCAAAAGATCCCTTGTGACTCCTGTTATCCATTTCCTCTAGGTTTACAGTGAGGAGTATAAACAGCTCTGGTTTCCTGAGATCTCTCCGTCATGGATACTGAAGTTTCATCATTTTATTATTGTTGAACATTCTGTTGCACAGATATATTACCTCCTAGTTGACACGTAAATCATGTGCAGTCTTCAGCTACTAGGAGTTAAACTTCCAAAACATGTGTTTCAGATGAAGAGTTAATTTTCTGGAGCATCTAGTTGTGGTGAATTGCATGATAAATGTGTATTTAACTTTTCAGAAATTGCCAAGCAATTCTTTAAAGATTTTTTAAAGCAAATCTTATAATTTATTTTCTATTTTATTACAACTACATGGGTTTCAGATGTTGTTCATTTTTGTCAACTGACTTGGTCAATCTGTTTAACTAAATGAATGCACAATGACAGCTTACTGTATTTTAATTTGTATCTTCCTCATGAATAAAAATATTGAGTACCTTTCCTATGTGTCCACTGGTCATCAGTACTCTACTGTAAAGTTCAAATCTTCCCCTGCTATCCACTGGTCTTGTTGTTGTCCCATTTTGAAGTTGTAAGAGTTCATTATTATTCTGAGTAACAACCCATGTACATACATCACAAATGTTCTCTCCAACCCCATAGTCTGTCTTCACTTTCTTAAGGTTTCTCCAATTTAGTTTATTCCCAGTATGTATTTTTCCTTTTATGGTTCACATTTCTTGTTTTCCATAAAAGGGAAGAAACAATTAATACTATTTCTTAGTGTTTTAGCAGAAGTCAAAACAAAGATTGATCTCTCAGAAAAAAATTGTAGTTACAGCTTCTTTTTCTAGTGGAATTAACCTCAATAAGATTCATCTGTGTGACAAAGTCTTTAAGAGAACTATTTCCATAATCCCAGTGATGCTAAAAATATCAAAGAAGCCCTTAATGCCTGTAGAGCAGAAACAAGCTTGTAAAGGAGGAGCTGCAACCACAAGACACCTTTTGCCTTTCGAAAGGACTGCTGCAGAAGAACACAGGAGGAGCCAACAAGAGCATAGTGATCACAATGGGACCACAAAAGGACTACCGCAGGAGGATGACCAAGTCCTAACCAGGGGGTACCCAGCATCTCTGTTGCTGTACTTCAGAACTACAGTGGGGCAATGGCATCCACGATTTTTCTCTTTCTGATCTCATCACAACGCACTGACCAACTGAGAAATTATTATTTGTAAATAATTATAATTTGTTTTACTGTGAGGCTTTCAGATTAAGAGGAAATATACTCAAGATGAGTGGTAATCTGGGAGCCTCAACTAACTGTGCCTAATTCCAAGTAAGAGAAACCAAACGTCATGCTGGAATAAAGCCAATGGGGCCCGGGACAGGTGTGTTTTCAACATCCCGTTTCTGTGTGTATTACAGTCCTGTTATTTTCCTAAACAGCTCCTTTACTTCCCACCAACAACTGCTTTAATTCATTATCTTACCACAGACTCCAATAACATGCATACAGATATTCCTGGGATGACCCTCTGTACCCTTACTTCCTACTTCATCCAGAATTGATGAGAAAATGTGATTCACAGCAGTTCTAATTCATCACATGGCGTATACACTTCTTTCTTACACCTTTAAATTATATATCCCTGGGATCTAGAACAGTGTCTAACTGTCACATGACATAGTAAAGAGACATTCACATCAGACAGATGATCAAATATTCAGTTCACAATGTACTTCTGAAGAATTTGAAATATATATTGACCATGGCCGTATACATTCACAAATTAAAAGAGTTAACTATGCAATAATGTAATTTACCTTAATACAGAGCTGACCTTCTGAAAAACACATTCATTCAAAATGACTTATTGTAAAAGGCATGGTGGGGCACACTTGTAAACCTCAGCACTTGGAGACCTGTGACAGGATCACACCGAGTCTGAGGTCAGCCTGGGCTACACATTAAGTTCTAAGCCAGTTTGTGTTGTATTGTGGGACCTTGTCTCACTAACAGACAAGGGAACAAGCAAACAACACTGCACATTCATTGACAACAAACAAGGGAGGTGCCTGTATCCATACCTCCTCTCAAAACATTTGCCTGATTTTCCAAGTCAGCAATTTCCATCTTGATATTTTCTTTCATCAAAATATCTTTTTTCTTGGTTATTTCATATTCATCATTGAAGTCTGTAATTTCCTTAATAAAATTTTCCTCTTCTTCTGTTGCTTTTTTCTTTGTGGCCTCCTGAAAAGCAGAAATAAGTTACCAAATATACACACTGGTTGCACTATTCTTCAGTGATTTAAAATACAACAATTTGGAGTTATTAGCCAAGGTATCATCATCAACTCTGTTTTCTGCATCACCAAACACAGGCTGTGATGACCAAGTATATGTGTTTAAAGAAGGGGGCTGTCATACAATATCTTTCAGTGGAGGTTTTATCCTTACAGATTTGGGAGAATTAGTGAAGTAGGAATGCTGACATTTATCATTATGCTTGTATCTGTGAATTTACTTTACAATCATACATGCTACTTTGTCAATATAATGTACAATCAGGTGGAGGAGTAATAGTGAAATGTGAAAATTACAACCTTTGCTCAAAGGAGCAATGCTGCTTTATAGGAAAACGAAAAACTGATTATCTGAAGGCAAATTATGCAATCATCTCAAAGTTAGTTCAAAATAAGCTTTTATGCTACAAATCAAACATCCACAGGGCACAAAAATATGAATTTAAGCCTTTGGACAGTACAAAAATCTAATTTTCTAATAGGATTAGAAATATTAGTCTGTTGTATTTTTATTTTTTTGACTGAAGCATCAACTATGTGGAATAACTTTTAGAAGCTGGTCATGTCATGAACTGTATTTTTGTTCTTACATATATCTTATGCAATTTTTACTTATCTATTCATTGTGTGTACATACATATGTGTATGAGTGTGGGCATGCATATTCTGTGGCACACATGTGGAGGGCAGAGCATAACTTGCAGGGGTCAGGTTTCTCCTTCCACCATGCTGGTTACAGGGATTAAAGGGTCATCAGACTTGGTGGAAAGCCCCCTTGCCCACTGAACCCTCTTGCTGTCCCAATTATATTTCTCTGAAAGGTCAGCTTATGACTAGTCACATCTCCAAACTGGCCTATACTCATGATTACTGCTCAGCATGTTGGCTTTGACTTAAGATAAAAAGATAAACAATATTTTTCACTCATACCCATAAATATGCCTAAAAGTATAAACCTCTCTATTTTTCAAGATCATGAAAATTGAGCCTCAACACCAGAGTAATTCAGAGAGGTGGTATTCTTTCTTTTAGGCTCATTACAACTGTAAAAAATTCCTGAGTTATATCGTTGCCAGTACAACTCTTTCAAACTGTGCTACTCTCCCAGTCAATTTTAAACAGCACTTGATATTTTTATTTGAACACAAGTACTGTCAGCTGATATGCATACAGATAATTTCCTCAAAGGAAAGATGTATATGTTTAGATGCCTTTGACACAGTTATTGACTTCGATGTTTCTAGGTGGCTAGAGACTTACGAAGGCTTGGAGCAGGGTATCCCTTTGGTTCATAATTTCACTGTGCTGTCTCTCTAATGCATTTTCATGGGTTTTCAAAAGCTCTAAGAGAAATGATTTTTCAGAAAACTGCTGAACCTTCAAAAGGAAAATACAGAAATCAGAATAAAGCAAATGAATGCAAATTTTAGGGGCTCAGTTAACTGAACAGGTCTGCAAATGTAACATTTTCTGAAATATCTTTAAGAAGCAAAATTAAATTTCCGTTCAAAGCCTTCCTGTATACACTGTTAAAGGTGACTCATAGCAGCGAGTTTACAGTGTCCTTCCCCAACAGGACCACGGGCTCACTGTGGGCATGGCTCCTTTATTTTTCCTCACCACATTCAGCAGAACTCACAGATGAGTACTGAGGTCATCTGACCGTACACACTGAAATTTGCTTCTGGACAGCTTGCTCCCAGGAACAGGCTTCTTATCTCACGATTTATATTTTTGGTTGTGAGCCTAGCCTTTAATGGCTGAGCCATCTAAGCAGCCCTGTCTCACAACTTATAATGAATCAATCACTTATTATTATCACTAAAAGATGGGATAAAATCTACAGTTCGAATCCAGTCTTGTCACTACAGCTATATGAAATAAGACATGTTTGGTTTAATATTTCAAATGTACTTTCAGAATTCAGTCTTCTAATTTTACTTATTTACTCTGGGGGGGTCTAATTTTTAGAGACTGCAGCAGGTGGACAGCAGTGTTTGCACTGGCAGGTTGCTGAGAGAGATCCTTCCCAGCCTCCTCTAGGCATTTAGCCAAAAGATTATTCTCCTCTCCACCCCTCCCCTCCTCTCCCCTCCCCTCTACTCTCCTCCCCTCCCCTCCCCCCCTCTGTGTTTTTTATTGTTTGTTTGAGACAAGATTTCTCTGCAAACAGCCCTGACTGTCCTGGAACTCATTTTGTACACCAAGCAAGCACAGAAATCTTCCTGCCTCTGCCTCCCAAGGTCTGGGATTAAAGGCATGTGCCACCACTGCCTGGCCAAGAGATTTCTTCAAACAGGATCAGAGACCAACATTTCCCCCTTCTTCCCCACAATAACTCACTTTTAAATTTTCATGCCCCATTTTATTTCAAAGATTAAATGATTTCATAAGCACTGATATTAGGTAGAAACTATTGTTTCATTTGCACTTTTAAAACACCACTTTCTGAGACATGAATTGAATATAAGAATGAAAATCAGAGAAACAAATGCTGAAAACAATTTTTCTACAGTGTTTGGTACTGGCCCTCATGAGAATGTATCACCTTCAGTTTGGGGCTGTTCGCATCTCTACAGAGAAAAGAAAAATGATACAAATTCAACTGAAATTGCAGAAAGCAAGATTTATATTAGTTATAAGAACTTCCTCAAGGTGAGAGACAGGTTGTGAAATCTCTGTCCCAGAAGATATTGAATAGTAAAGAGCCTGGAACAGTCTCTTCCAGAGGCAAAGGGTTGGCTTCAAAGACATTTTGAAATATTACAGCCACTAAGTCCTAGGAATACTGGCATTTTGAAAAAAATAGCTGCAGTGAAATAGAAATGATCTTCCATTTATAGAAGACCATAACACAGCTGCCCCAACCCACAGTCCTAGGTGCAGTTTCCATCATCCATATTTTAAGAAAGATGCCAACAGAGAAAGATGGAGACATAATTTGCATGACTGGAGGTATGAAGGTCACAATGAGAAGGCATCTTGTGTCTGCAATGCAGAACGGAAAACGTGTTTCCCAGACTTTAGGATCACATACAGCTCAACAGGGAAGACAAGGGTAGGATCATGATTTCTCCATTTGTTTAGTGTAAGAACATGACACTTCAGGGCTACTTCATGATTATTATACAGATGACAATAAAATAAGGTCAACAAGTTTAAGATTTATAAGGGATATATAATTAATTAGGGGCAAATGAGGGGCTAAAATTCAGGTCTTCCTACATCCTTTGTGTAAAATCATGACATTAAAATGGAAATGCTAAAGCTATTTCAAGGTAATTCTGATAATAAGAAGGATGTCAGCAACCCAGCAGTAAAAGTTAATGTACGGAAGTTCTAGAGACAATTAGGAAAATTACCAAATACTAAGTTCCCCTGTGTCCAGGACACAGAACCTCACTGTGAATAGTAGCCAGGGCAACACAGAAATGCTTCAGACACACTATGACACTATAGTATCCCATACAGAAATCATGTTTGAACACTGTACAATTGAGTACAACTGAGTTACCAAAATAAATAAAAGTTGTGGCCAGGCAGTGGTGGTATACACCTTTAATCCCAGCACTGGGGAGGCAGAGACAGGCAGTTCTCTGTGAGTTCAAGGCCAACCTGGTCTACAAGGGCTAGTTCCAGGACAGGCTCCAAAGCTACAGGAAAACCCTATCTCAAAAAAACAAAAAACAAAACTAACTAAATAAATAAATATTGCAAATGAATCTCATGTTTTCACTAAGTACTCCAGAATGGAATGCATGCAGCCTGCAGGTCATGAACTGGTAAGCTCTGCTTTAATGTATGAAGGCACTTCAAATAGTATGTCTAGAATGGAGATTCTTGGCTTCTAATTTTGCTGCTGACAGAGATTCCCAGAACCCACACCAACTGCACCAAGTTGTCCTCTGATCTCCACAACCATCACCACAAGCTTTGTTTTCAAAGGCAATAGCTCTCATGGCCTCTCTCCAGGAAGCAGGGAATAATTCTTCCTGTTCTTTCCATTATCCAAATTACTTTCTTAAGTTGCCTTCCAAGACTGTGTGCTTAAACACCAGGCTACTGATGTGACAATTTTAGTGGCTCTTCTAATATAACCCTGACTACACAGGGCATCAAAATCAGAGGCCACTCGCAGAATCACTAACTGCTGTAAAATTTAAAAATGCCAGAGGAAAGGGAGACAGAGACAGAAAGACAGAGATGGGGAGGTGAGCAAGGCTCACCTTTTTAAAGGGAAAGTAGTGAATGTACACAGGAGGTGCTCTTAGTGGCTGCCCCAAGGGCAAGCAAGTACAGATGCCTGGATACTGAAGTTCCTCCTTTTTGTTTTTTATAAGAAGGTGAGGAGTTAGAAATTGTACCAGGTAAGGTGGGGATGAGGATGCCATGCTTTATACTGACCTGGGCGGTGTCACAATCTTTGGGGGAACCTGAGAAATCTGGGGTGCTGGCCAAGTCCTGGGATATCTGGCTGTTTCACTTCACTGTCCAGGTTCTGTGGAACTGTCAGGCACTACTTGGACTTCCTATCCTTTCCCATCACCACAGCATCACCTGAATATCCTTTTTCTATCCAGTTTACCAGGAAACACAGGTGGTGGATTACTGAGGGCAGTTATCATAGAGTTAGTACTTTCTAAGTAAAGGGATAGTTAAGAGTTACATTAAAATCTGCTCTGTGAGTCTCTTTTCTGAATCTAGGGGGACTTGAATACCTCTGGGGTGTTGTTGGTTTTCAGCACTTTGACATGTTTGGTAGTCTTGCACCTCCAGGTCTGTGGTTATCAGTTGGGAGTCCTGTAACAATAGCTGATTAGTTTTTGGATCATAGAATTTTGAATATTATCATTGGAGTTACATAGAAAAGACACTGATGAAGCAGCATATGGTTGTTAAAGACAAGAGAACAAGGAGAAGGAAGGGTCAGGAAGTAATACATTCGCTTCAATTGGGGCTCCCAATCTAGTATTGGGACCAGGACCAAAAACAAAAACAAAAACAAAACAAAACAAAACAAAACCCAAAAACCTCATTTAGAGATCTGTCTCTCCTTCACTGTAAATGGTGATGTTTGTAAGACCAGGGGTGGTGAACAATCTGTTCCATTTACTGATACCAGGACTTTTAAAACAAGAATTTCCAAGGTGTTCTGTTGCTGTTGAGAGCAGGATCTCAGCTGGAACCCGGATATCATCACCACACACAACCCATGCACAACGCAAGCACAAGACACCTTGATCTGACAGCCCTGATAGCAGATGAGGTTGGGGATGAGGATGCCATGTTCTTGAGAGTGCTTCATGCTGACCTGGGGTTGTTGTAATCTTTGGGGGGCCTAAGAAAGCTGGGGTGCTGGCCAAATCTTGGAGTATCTATCTATTTCACTTTACTGTCCAGGATCTGTGGAACCATCAGGCACCTCCTGGACCTGGCAAAATGCCGTTTGAGGTGGAGCCAAGTTGACTTCCTAAGGCTTAAAGCACCTGATCCTTTCCCATCACCACAGCATCACCTGGACATGTTTGGTAGTCTTGCGCCTCCAGATCTGCCAATACCTGGTAGTCCTGCAACAATATGTGATTAGGAATGGTCACTGGGTTCAAAACAACATCCTAAAGGGAGTAAGGAGCTATAAACAAATGACACAGTCCCCATGAGTGAGGCAGAGAAGACCCAAGGGTCTGCAATTCCTAACATCCCAGGAATTCAGAGAAGGTCAATTTGAGACAGCACAGACTACTCAGTGATTCAAACACAGAGCAGGGGCCAAGGGATCTGAGCACAAGAGAGACACAGTCACTTGGTGTGGGAGAATTGTCTGCAGTCTGTCAATCATGTTTTAAATAAATGCTGATTGGCCAGGCAGGAGGTGTAGGTGGGAAAACCAGACAGGGAGTGGAAATGATGCAAGGGAGCAGAAGAATTCTGGGAAGGAGGAAGCTGATTCCTCCCTCTCCTGCCCAGATCACCGAAGCAGCAGAATGTGAGCTGCCCCACTAAAAAAGGTATTGAGCCACATGGCTAACATAGATCAGAATAATTGGTTAAGATAAGCTACAAAAGCTAATAAGTAGCCTGACCTAATGGGCCAATCAGCTTATAACTTATAGAGATTTCTGTGTGATTTTCTTTTGGGGCTAAACAGCTGTGGGGTACTGGGTGGGACAGAAAACACAAACAAGCAGGCCCCCTTTCATGTTACAGTCACCTAGTACCAGGACTTCAAGAAAAGCCAGAAGACAAAGAGAGGACTGGGCTGAAGAAATGAAACCTCACATCCAGGGCAATGGTCTGAGACAGGTAGCCTACCAGAGACCCAGTTGCCAATACAGAATGAAAGGCAAAGTCGCTAGTGAATGAGAAGGCAGATTTGC